TTAATTGCTAATTGTTCCCACTTATGGATATGCAGTTAAACTACCTGAAATACACTATTTCCTTATATGGATGTATCTCAGCAAGCTGCTTGCCTAAGTTGCTTGCTGTCTCCCACATATCGTACTCCAGAACATTCTGTACACTACATTACTGCAACCTTATACCTGTCTACCCTTCTTCACTTGGTAAAGCTGGAGTCAATTGAAAAGTTGGAGGGGTGGGGAGCGCAGGATTAAGGGAAACATTCTATTGGTTGGAGTCATATCTGGCACAAAGGAAGACAGTTAAGGTTGTGGAGGTCAGTCATCTCAGCTCCAGGACATCTGCTCAGGACATCCACAGGAGTGTGTCCTTGACCTAACCATCTACAGCTGCTTCATCAGTGACCTTCCCTCCATTGTAAGGTCAGAAGTGGGGATGTTTACTGATCATTGAACAATGTTCAACACCATTTGCAACTTCACAGATACTGAAATAGTCCATATCCAAAAGCAGCAAGACCTGGACAATGTCTAGGTTTAGGTTGACATATGGTTGACACAAAGATAGGTGGAGGGACAGATAGTGTCGAGGAAGTGGGAAGACTGCAGAAGGACTTGGAGAGGCTAGGTGAGTGGGCAAATAAATGGCAGATGAAATACAGTATGGGAAAGTGCACTTTGGCAGGAAGCATAGAGGCATAGACTATTTTCTAAACAGGAAAGGCTTTAGAAACTTGAAGCAAATAGGGAATCAGCAGTCCTAGTTCATTCCCTTAAGGTTAACAGGCAGGTTCAGTTGGCAGTTAGGAAGGCAATTGCAGGGTTAGCATTCAAGAAGGCTAGAATACAAGAGCAGAGCTGTACTGCTGAGGCTGTATAAGGCTCTAGTCCGACTTGCATTTGGAATATTGTGAAGAGTTTTGGGCGAGAAGGATGTGCTGGCATTGGAAGGGGTCCAGAGGCGGTTTACAAGGATGATCCCATGTCTTATGAGGAGCACTGAGGACTCTGTGTCTGTACTCGATAGAGTTTAGAAGGATTAGGGGGTATCTGATTGAAACTTACAAAATACTGAGAGGCCTGCATGAATGGACTAGGAGAAGATGTTTCCATCAGTAGGGGAGACTAGGATCCAAGGGCACAGCCTAGGACCCTAAGGGACAACCATTTAGAACTGAGATGGGGAGGAATTTCTTCAGCCAGAGGGTGGTGAATCTGTGGAACTCATTGGTGCAAAAGGCTGTGGAGCCCAAGTCATTGAGTGTATTTAAGCCAGAGATGGATAGGTTTTTGATTAACAAGAAGATCAAGGGCTGCAGGAAGAAGGCAGGAGAATGGGTTAAGAAACGTATCAGCCATAGCAGACTTGATGGGTCAAATGGCCTAATTCTATGCCTATTTTTTTTATGGTCTAAGAAACATTTGTGCTGCACAAGTGGCAGGCAATGACCATCTCCAACAAGAGTGAAACTAACCATCACTGAATCCCCCACTATCAACATTCTGAGAGTTACCATTGACCTGAAATTGAACTGGACTCACCATATAAATACTGTGGCTGTGCGCTCTTGTGGCACAGGGAACTGTCCCTACCTCTGAGCCAGAAGACCTCAGTTCAAGTCTCACCTGTTGCAGAGGTATTTAAGAACATGCATGAGCAGGTTGGTTAGAAAACATTTATAAATACTGTGGCTACAAAAGCAGATCATAGGGTAGCAATCTTAAAGTGACTATGTCACCTCCTGAATTCCCAGCTACAAGGTAATATCAGGAATATGATGGAAAACTCTCCACTTGCCTGGATGAGTGTTGCTCCAACAACACTCAAGAAGCTCAATACCATCCAACACAAAGCAGCCTGCTTGATTGGCATCACTTCTGCAACATTCAATCCCTCTATCACTGATGCTCATTAGCAGTGTTATGTGCTATCTACAAGATACATGGCAGAAATTCACCCACAATTTCTTTACTAGCACATTCCAAACGCACCACCACTACCATCTGGAAAGAAAGGGCAGTTGATACAGGGAAACACTAATACCTGCAAATCCCCTTCAAGTCACTCACCATCCTGACTTGGAAATATATCACCATTTGTTCAGCATTGCTGGGTCAAAATTCTGGAACTCTTTAATGGCATTTTGGTCTATCTACAGCAAATAAATTAGGTGTTCAAGAAGACAGCTCACCACCACCACCTCCTCAAGGGCAACTAGCAACTGATTTTAATGCTGTCCTAGCCAGTGATGCTCACATCCTATGAATGACTAAATAAATCACGAAAAGCTACCAAACATGTTCAGTGGGTAATAGGCAAATGGACTATTGGCCTTTATTTCAAAGGGAATGGAATATAAAAATAAGGAGGTTTTTCTAAAATTATACAAGGCACTAGTCACATCTTGAATACTACGAACAATTTCGGTCCCCATATCTAAGGAAAGATATACTGGCATAGGAGGCAGTCCAGAGAAGGTTCACCAGGTTGCTCCCAGGTATGGAGGTATTTTCTATGAGGAGAGGTTGAGTCGGTTGGGCTTATACTCATTGGAGTTTAGAAGAATGAGGGGAGACCTTATTGAAATATATAAAATTCTTAAGGGGGTTCGTGATTAGATATAGAAATGTTGTTTCCCCTTGTGAAAGCATCGAGGACTAGAAGACATAATCTCACATTAAGAGGCTACCCATTTGAGACAAACATGAGACAAAAACAGAAGTTGCTGGGAAAACTTAGCGGGTCTGGCAGCATCCACAGAGAGAAAGCAGAGTTAACATTTTGGGTTCAGTGGCCCTTCTTCAGAACTGTTCTCCCAGCAATTTCTGTTTTTCAGCATTCACAGTACTTTTGTCTTGTTTGAGGCAAAGATGAGGATCATCTCAGAGGGTAGTGAGCGTGTTGAATCTTTACTGCAGAGAGCTGTTGAAATTGGATTGTTTTTTGTATTCAAAGCTGAGACAGATTTGGTCATTTACAGGATCAAGGCTATGGGGTTGAGGCAGGAAATTAGAGGGTTATCAGATCAGTCAAGATCTACTTGTGTGGCAATGAGTCAAATGGCCTACTTCTGCTCCTATGTTTTATGAATCTTATGGAGCAGTTAATATATGTAATTATTCTCAACAACAACAAAAACAAATTTGCTGGAAAAGCTCAGCAGGCTTTCAGTTTTTATTTAATTATCTTGTTCGTGATGGGAGAAGAACTCCCTCCAGTTGATTGTTTTTCTTTGCATGGGATGTATTGGGTATTGTACCATTCTTCATGGTACCTTCTTTATGGTGGACACAGTCTGTGTACAATCCACAGTGTTTTTCTACTTCCTCTCTTCAGGCTGAAAACTCAACTGGTCCATAAACCTGGTAGTGAATAGTCTGGACTATATACTCGTCCACTCCTACAATAAGCACAGTTATACTCAATTATTATTAGCATTAATGCACCAATTCTGGGCATGAAATTTATGAGATTGTAGCATTAACACAGACTTTGATCCACAAATAACTTCCTTTGTAAAGTATACAGAAAAATAATGCAATAAGGACATAAATGCTAACAGGTTGAATTCGGTTCCCAGGTTGGACAATTTTAATGGACATGATGTCCAAAAGATAGTTTTGAACTTATTTTGTGGTGCATTTTGAATCATTCATTACTCGACTGAACAAAGAACAGTATTTTCCTGTTTTGAGGGCATCCTCCCGTTAAGAGGAGAGACAGTTTCTGGAGAGCTGTCCTTCACTTTGCAGCCCATTGGATGAGTCTGAGGAGCCGGGATTAGGATTTTCGGTTCTCTTTGTTTGCCTCAAGTTAGTAAAAGGCATTGGGCCAAGCCAAACCCATAATGTTTTGGGGCCAGCTGAGTTATTTCGAAACAAAGCTGCTGTGCGGAATTTGTAAGTATTCCTTCGTGTCAGTACCTGGAGCAAGAACAGCAACGTTGTTTGGACCCAGAATTCCTGAACCAGTTCGGTAAGTGGAGCGATCACCTGTCATAGGGACCATTTTATTAATTTTATACAGATTTTATTATCAATGCGTGAGTGATATTAAACAAGAATACGTTGTTTCAGAAGTACGGTACATTTGGCTGTTTTGCTTTCAACATTTTCTTTTTCTCATAGTGAAGCTTGGCTTTTTCTTTTCGCTTCTCTTCGAGAGTGGTTATAACCGCGACTGGGAACTTGCCACCTTTATATGATAATAAAGCACAGTTGTCATGGGGTTAGAGCCTTCGCATGAACACAACAGACTGTCATTTGAACAGGCGCCGGTCAGAAACAAAATTGAGGACATTTTGAAAAGGAAAGCAGGGCTTGTGTGAAAAATATTAACATTATTTGACACAGCATTCAGCGCAGCCCAAAAGATCATGAGACAGAGATGGATTGTAAAAATAAACCATATTTGTCTTGCCTTGGTTTCCCCTGAGTACTGATTCCCTCAGTGGTAACGGGAGAGTGGGCACCCCGTTATCGTGTTTCCTGGGAGACCCGAAGCACGGATTTTCCAGTGTGTTTAAGGTCTCACACGTATGTTTAGTCACGAAGCACTTGTTCCTTACAGTTCTTGTGTAAGGTCTTCCCTGGGGGCGATGAACCACGGAAGGGGAACAATAAAGAGCCCCCGACGCCAAATCGGAAACCCCACCAGCAGCGGCTCAGCCGCATTATTTATCTTAAAAATTCCCTGAACTGTGACGAGCTCGAGGTCACAAAACTGAATCAGGAAAAGAAATCAACGTGTTGCCTGTATTGTATTTCTCTGCTTCTTCTGCCACTTTCGAGCTCTGGATCTGTATTTGTGAACGTTTAAAGTACCATGTTTTCTGTTCAGTCTCTCCCCCCAGTTTGGGGGACAGCTACTGCATGCGAAGGTATTGCTCCTGAAGCATTTGATGACGATTGGCTGCCCTGGGCGCTGATCATACAGGTTGTTTCCCCCTCCTCCTCTCTACCCCCCCTTCTGTGTAAACATGCGGTAACAGGAAGGATGTTTGTGGAATGCAGTTAGTGTCTGCAGGCGTGTGGATAGGTTCTTGGCATTAGCGAATGATCGGCTCTGCTCTCTCTCTCTCTCTCACCCACACACAACAAACCGAGCGGCTAGCCTTTTTATTTTTCGGGAGGGCTGATGCGGTAGGGAGAAAGGGACTTATCTTCGCCGCGACAATAGGGATTTGGCTTAATTGGTCGTCCGGAAAACTTCCACCATCTCAGTGACTGTTCCCGCGAGCCCGCCCTGACAACCAGCAATGAAGACGGCGGGAAAAGGCTAATTAGCAGCTGTGCCGTGTCAATCGGTTCTTGCTGGGCTTTTACAGTGTTCCGGATGCAGCTGTCTACGGAGGAAAGTTTTGTAGCACCGCTTATGGTAATACACTTGCAATCATTTGGATCAATTTGGTCGATTTCACTAGTATTTCGATCTCGTGCTCTGAAATTCCAATCGTATTTAGTCTTTTCGTCCTGCTGCCGACATTGGTGTTGCGACGATAATTGTAAAAGTTTTTATTAGTTTTGTTTGCGAAACAGTCAACTGCAAATTCCACGCATTAATTTTGCTGGGGGTGCTTTTAAGGCAGATGCATTGGTTTATAGTTTAGTGACACGCGTGGGTTGGGGTGGATGCTTCAATATCAATAGGTAAGCGCGATGTTTTCTTTTTGAAGCAAAAAAATCTTTTGGAGTTTTCTGTTTCGTGGGAAAGAGTAGCTAAAACATCAACCCCACAGTAGTCCACCTGGTCCAGTCTTTCAGTATCTTTGTGCTTGATGGGGATCGGTTAGCTCAGTTGGCTGGAAGACTTGTCTGTTATGCACAGTGATCCCAACAGCGGTGGCTGGAGGTTACCATAAAGGACTTTCCATCTCGACCGCTCCCATCATCTGAGGTGTAGTGACCCTCAAGTTAAATCATAGAATTCTTCATAGAATCCCCATAGTGTAGAAACAGGCCATTCAGCCCAATGAGTCGACACCAACCCTTCAAAGAGCATCCCACCTAGACCCATCCCCCTACCTTATCTCTGTAACCCTGCATTTCCCATGGCTAACACACCTAATCTACACATTCCTGAACATTATGGGTAATATAGCACGGACAATCCACCTAATTTGCACATCTTTGGACTGTGGTAGGAAACTGCAGCAACCGGAGGAAACCCACGCAGACCCTGGGAGAATGTGCTGACACCACACAGACAGTAAACCACCACCAGTTGTCTTTCTCTAATGAGAGAGCAGCCCTATGGTCTGGGAGGACTACAGGTGACTTTATCTAATACCTAAGAACAGAGATGGATATGATAATGTTTGGCTGGTCCTGTAACATCTGCATTCCAGAAAATACAGTTAGATCAAAGTTGGGCCACAACCTCTTGCATTTATAGAGCACCTTTTAACACAGTAAAAAATACCAAGGCACTCAACAGGGGATCAGTGAACAGATTTTGACAATGAACCACAAAAGGAGGTAGAAAGTAGCTGACCAATGCTTGGTCAAAAAGATAGATCTTGACGAACATCTTCAAGGAAGAAAGATAAGTTGAGATGTTTTAGGGATGGATTTTAAGAGTATAGGGCCTTGGTAATTGAAGGCCAGAAGTGGAACAATTAATATTTGGGATGCTGGAGGTCAGAATTAGAGGCATGCAGGGATCCTAAAGGGTTTTAGGGCTTGAAGTATAGATATACAAAATGTAATGGGTGATAATTATGTTGAAGGATAATTTCGTGCCCCTGCATAATATATCATTCTATGTCTTCCATTTCTACCTAATTGCACAGAGATGCAATGGTTTGGATTTGTTTTCTACTTTTAAGATGAATGCAAGGTTTTTGTGCAGAGAAATCTGCAACATAAGCTCTTAAGTCCCACATATAGAGGAAAATAGAACAGTTAAGCATTACAGTTTAGTGTGGTAAAGAAAACCCCTCAGCTAATTGTGCCTACATTGGCTATTGGCTAGATCAAAGTTATGGAATTGTTCCTTAAAACCTTTTTTTTCCTTTGAGTGAGGAGTTAAATTAATTACTCTTTTTGATTCCTCCCATAAAAATGTCCTTGAAAAGAGAATGAAGGTTTCATCATCTTGTAAGCCTACTATTATTTATGACTTACATGATCTAGAACATTCTTACAAGCACAGTCTTGTGAAAAAAACGTGCTGGAGCCTGTTGTTATATAAGACTTACGACTTGTTTGATTTACTTTATAGAATGTCTTACAATGTCAAATTTCAGGCCAAACAAATTCAAACTCTCTCTGCTTTAAAATAAACATTAATTTAAAAATGTTTAAATGTGGAGGTGTAATTTAAGTGGAGATGGAGGAATACCATCTGCTGATAAAAATGGTACAGGAAATTTCATTACATAATACTCAACTTTCATACTCCAAATACTCTCAAATCCTTTTATAAAAAGAAGCTTGCACTTGCATTCAGTTGTGTAGTTTGTATAGATTAAGTTGTATTTCTCTTCAGAAGATTTACTGTACAACTGATAGCCCAATTGCTATCATTTGATGCATTCAAAGGCTATTGAAAGTTGCTGTTAGGTAAAATAGGTTCTGAACTTCCTTTCTTGCTAGTTATTGGATCTATACAGATACAAATCTACTGTACACAGGTTTGGAGTGATCATCTTCAGAAAGGACAAGTGTGGTTGCAATATTAATCTCAGCACTTTCTGGACTTTGAGTGTTTCAGCAGGCTTTATTCACACAAACTTCTCTCACAATGAATTTTCACACATATCAACAAAAGAATCATTCAATAAAATGATTGGTGGTCTGATTGTAATCTCAAATCCACATGCCTGCTGACCACTGATAACATATCACACCATGGCTCACCAAAAATCTCTTCACCTCCGCCTTAAAAATATGCAAAGACTACCTCATGACTCTTTGTGTTTTAAAAAAAACTATCTCTGTTTTAAATGAGTGACACATTATTTTTAAACAGTGACCCCTAGTTCGAGGTTCTTCCATAACATAGTGCAATGGAAGTGTCCCTACCCCTGGACTGGGAGACCTGGATTCGCATTGCACCTGCTCCAGAGGCGTGTAATAATATCTCTGAGCATGTTGGTTAGAAAAATAGGTTAATAAAAAAAAAGAGGAAGCATCCTCTCCACAACAATCCTGTCAAGATCTCTCAGGATCATGTGTGTTTCAATCAAACTGCCTCTTATTATTCTAAACTCGAGCAGATACCAACTTTTTCTCATAAGAATTTCCATTGCCTCCTCCAGTTATATTCTGATTGATTTGTATCCTTCATAAGCTGATCAATACTGTACTCAGTTCTCCAGACGTGGTCTCACCAGTACTTCGTAGTACAACTGAAGCGTGACCTCCCAATTTTTGGATTCTGTTCATTACACAATAAATGATAATTATTTGCTGTATCTGCCTACTAGCCTTTTGTGATTCATGCACCAGAACACCCAGATCCCTCTGTATCTCAAAGCTCTGCAATCTGTCACCATTCAGAAAGTGTGCCTTTTTAGTCTTCCTCAAAAATGGATAATTTCATGATTTCCTGTACTATACTTCATTTACTAGATCTATGTCCACTCATTGATCTATCTATATCCCTTTGTAGCCATCTTATGTCCTCTTTACTTCCCTTTACTTACTTTTCTTCCTCTCTTTGTGCCATCAGCAAAAATTTCAACTGTGCCTTCTATCCTTTCAACCAAATCATTTGTATAAATTTTAAACAATTGAATTCCCATAATTGATCTTTGTGGGGCACTGCTTGTTACATCTTATTAACCATCAAAAGACTCATTTATGCTCAGTCTCTGCTTCTGATGAACAAGCCAGTTTTCTATCTATGGTTTCCTGCTTGGCCAATTGTCTCACCACCTATGGGCACAAGTGCCTGTCACTGCCAGGATATCCCGGGATTCTGATGCCGGTGCCATCTTTAAACCCCAACTGTTTCCTGGTCGAGATTTGGTAGTCAGGAATTGCCCTTCACTGTACATGTAGTGAGAGAGCAACTGCAAACCAAAGCTTCTTAGGACACAGCAGTAGGGCTGATTCTTCATCGCACGTACAAATGCACATTCTTATACCTGTTGCTGATTAAGAAACAAGCCATGCAGCTTCCCTGTCCTTAGCCTCATCCTATATTACAACCCTGTCTAAATTAATGGTAGTCTTTCCCTACTTTCCAGTGTACCTCCAGCATTTTGTCTTTTGTTCAATGTGGGACCATCACATAAAAGAAAGCCTTGAAATGGTTCAAAGCATTCACTTTCATTTAGCAAAGTGAACAAAAAAAACAGAGTTGCATTTGCATCTCAGAACTGAAATTGACTGCTTGCCTTTTGAGCACTAACTAAGTTGCAGTTAGTGAGTGATCACTGCATCCAACTTTCATCAACTGTAACTGGCTATCAATTAAGTCCTCTTTGGCTTCTTGTGTTTGATGCTGCAGCACTCTACTGTGCATTAGGTAATGCCCTTCCTGCTTAATGCCCTCATCTTCCACCTCAGAAAATTGCTGCTGCTCCCCCAGCTCTTTAGCCTCCATCACATCCTCTGTTTGCCTGCTCCAGTTGTGTAGAGCATAGCATGCTATGAATATGTGGTACACTCTGTCCAAGGTACCTGGCACCGACTTCTATCTTGTAGCACCCATCATCACAGATAACTTGTAAATTGATGAAATGGAACCCTTTCTATTGATGAAGTCAGTTGTGTTACATGACTGCACTGTTTTTGATTTTGACAGTAAACTCTTATGAATACAAGAATTTTTGATTCAACTCTGTTCTAATGTTCACAGTCATTTGTTTGCAAGGCTTTACAATGCTTGTGAATGTTGTTTATAGGTTCCACAAAATAATGAAGCCAATATATGTTTCTAGTGGCTACAAGTTACTTACCTTTAACTGACGAATTTCTTTTCTTAACCACACAGATGTCAAACTATAAGCGTGCAACTTTTGAAGATGATGATCCTGCAGAATCAGCAACAGATGGCAATGCCTCACCAGAAAGTGTGGAGGTTTGTTGAATTGACTAGTTGAATTGATATTTTTATTAAATCATGGTTTCTTGTCTAACCTAATACTCATTTCCTTTATTTGTATACATGATGAATGTTTAGGAAGTTGTTTCATGATATGGTGTGCATGTCAACCCAGTTTATTTAGTAACAATGTGCACAGGAAAGTGCAGTTACTGCGACAGCATAATCAAGAACAGCCACATTGTATCCTTTGTTTATCCATTTTCTTTTTGGTTTTTTTAAAGATAGTGACTAACAATTTCTTCATTGTGATGTCTGATGGAATAGTCCTGATTAAAGTAGTTTCATGAGGAGAGTTAACAGTAAAATTTATTTTGCTTCCCCATAAACAAAATCTAACTGCTCAGATATTTGAGTTTTTTCTATAGTGTTCACATTTTGAAAAGTGAGTCATTTTGAACTGCTTGCTTATCTACATCTGAAATTGGGCAGGTTGTTGATATGCTTGTGTTTTTAAAGCTGAGTTTGAACTGAAGCTTTAAGATCCCTCACCGTATACCCTTTGAGAATTGTGTTCTCTGCTGAAAACATGGAACTGGTCCTTTGTAGTTCTGGATGAACAGCGTACTGGGACATTTTCTTTATGTTCAACATAAAAGCAGTCTTGTTTTGCTGCTTTGGAGTTCAACATATGGTATTTATGTTTACATGAAGATTTAGTACATAAGGAATTAATTATACTTTGAGACAAAAGGAATGAGGAATGTTAAATGAGGAAAGATTGAACAGGTTGGGCCTATACTTATTAGAGTTTAGAAGGATGAGAGTGGCCTTATTGAAATGTATCAGGGTTTGGAGGGTATTTGAAGGGTAGATGCTGAGACGTTATTTCCTTTCCTGAGGGAAATCTAGAATTAGGGGACCCAGCTTTAAAAAAAAGGATCTCCCATTTAGAGTCATCAAGGTTGACAGCACAAGAAAATTCTCTTCCACCTATCATGTCTATGACCTTCAAAAACCAGTAGCTAACTTTTCTAATCTCATCTTTCAGCACTTGGCCTATAGCCTTGTATGCCTGAGCATTTAAGATTGAGATGAGGAGGAATTTATTCTGAAGTTGGGAATCTTTGGAATTCTTTGCCCAAGCGATTGTGGGAGGAAGGTTTGACAGGAAAGCGGAGTTAAGACCACAGTCAGATCAGCCATGATTTTATTGAATAGAGGAGCAGGCTCAATGGGCCAAATGACATAGTCCAGCTTCTATTTATAATAGTCTATGTGGTATATTTCTTCTGTAGTCAGTGTCAGCACATTCAGTTATAGCCTGCTCCAGTCTCAGAAGAACACAAGATGCGGACGTGAAGTATTTTTGTCACATTTCGTGAAGCACCCTACCATTACATATACAGTATAAGTCAGTTCTGTTTTATGTCAAATCTCAGTCCATTTCCTAGTGGGTTAGGTGCACAGCACCAAAATGCCTGTTTAGAGGGGAGGTACTGGCCTAGTACTATTATTGTTAGACTGTTAATCTAGATAATGTTCTGGGGGTCCCAGGAGTGAATTCTGTCATGGCAGCTGGTGGAATTTGAATTCAGTAAAAAATTTGGAATTAAGAGTGTAATGATGATCATGTACTTTATATGTATTTGGAAAGGCAAGGACTGATTGGGGTAGTCAACATGGCATTGTGCGTGGGAAATCGTGTCTCAGTAACTTAATTGAGTATTTTTAAAGAAGTAACAAAGAGGATTGATGAGGGCACAGCAGTGGACATGATCTATATGGACTTCAAGAAGGCATTCGACAAGGTTCCTCATGGTAGACTGATTAGCAAGGTTAAATCACATGAAATCCAAGGAGAACTAGCCATTTGGATACAGAACTGGCTCAAAGGTAGAAGACAGAGGATGGTGGTGGAGGATTGCTTTTCAGACTGGAGGCCTGTGACCAACGGTGTGCGACAAGGATTGATGTTGGGGCTGCTGTTTTACATCATTTATACAAACGATTTGGATGTGAACGTAGGAGGTATGGTTAGTAAGTTTGCAGATCTCACTAAAATTGGAGGTGTAGTGGATAGTGAAGAATATTACACCGCAGTACAACAGGATCTTGATCATATGGGCCAATGGACTGAGAAGTGGCAGATGGAATTTAATTTAGATAAATGTGAGGTGGTACATTTTGGAAAAGCAAATCAGGGCAGGACTTATACACTTAATGGTAAGGTCTGGAGAGTGTTGCTGAACAAAGAGACCTTGGAGTGCAGGTTCATAGTTCCTTGAAAGTGGAGTTGCAGGTAGATAGGATAGTGATGAAGGCGTTTGGTATGCTTGTGTTTATTGATCAATGCATTGAGTATGGGAATTGGGAGGTCATGTTGCAGCTGCACAGGACATTGGTTAGGCCACTTTTGGAATACTGCATGCAATTCTGGTCTCCCTGCTATAGGAAGGATGTTGTGAAACTTGAAAAGGTTCAGAAAAGTTTTACAAGGATGTTGCCAGGGTTGGAGGGTTTAAGCTGTAGGACAAGGCTGAATAGGCTGGGTCTATTTTCCCTGGAGTGTCAAAAGCTGAGGGGTGACCTTTATAGAGGTTTATAAAATCATGAGGGGCATGGATAAGGTAAATAAACAAGGTGTTTTCCCCAGGGTAATGGAGTCCACAACTAAAGGGCGTAGGTTTAAGGGCGAGAGGGGAAAGACTTAAAAGGGACCAAAGGGCAACATTTTCACACAGGGGTTGGTGCGTGCATGGAATGAGTTGTCGGAGGAAATGGTGGAGGCTGGTACAATTACAACACTTAAAAGGCATCTGGATGGGTATGTGACTAGGAAGGGTTTAGACACGTGGGCCAAATGCTGGCAAATGGGGCTAGATTTATTTAGGATATCTGGTCAGTACGGTTTAGTTGGACTGAAGGGTCTGTTTTCCTGCTGTACATCTCCATGACCGTGTGATTCTATGCCTCTATGAGACCATTGATGATTATAACACTTAAAATAAGTGCTTGTTTTTCATTCATTCCTGGGATGTTGGCTTCACTGGCTAGGCCAACATTTATTGCCCATCCACAATTGTCCAGAGGGCCTTTAAGAGTCAACCATGTTGCTCTGGGTCTGGAGTCACATGTTGAACAGATCAGGTAAGGACAGCAGTTACCTTTTCTAGAAGATATTAGTGAACTTGGGTTTTTTCTAACAGCAATGGTTTCATGGTCATTGTTAGACTCTTAATTTCAGATTTTTTAATTGAATTCAAATTCCAATATCTGCCTTGGCAGGATTGAAGCCTAGATGCCCAGAGCATTACCAAGATTTATAGTCTAGCATAAATACCACTAGGCCATCACCCTCCCCTAAACAGACATTTTAGTTCTGTGAACTTAACGCACTACAGAATGGGTTGAAATTTGATGTAAAATAGACATCATAAAACAAGTCAGGGTGCTTAGTAGGATTATTATAAAGCAAAATTTTATGCCAAGCCGGGTAAGGTGTGATGAAGGCAGTTGGGCAACAGTTTAGCTGAAGACAAAAGTGTTAAGGAGTGTTTCAAAGGAGGAAAAAGCAGTAGGGAAATTTAAGGAGCATATCTCGAGCTTAGTGCCAAAGCAGCTGAAGACATTGTCATTAGTACTGCAGCAATTAAACCTGGGAAATGCCCAAGAGGCTAGGGTTAGAGGAAAGCAGAAGGTGGTGGAACTGGAGCTGATTATAGCGATAGGGAAGGAAGATGCCTTGGAGTTATTGTAAACAAAGATATGAGAATTTAAAAATTGAGGCACTGTTTAACAACAACCTTCTATTGGATGAATGGGACTCGGTGCATGTTAGGACATGGACAGTAGAATTATGGATCACATTAACTTTCTGTAGGGTAAAAGGTGGGAGGCTTTCTGAAAATTCCTTGAAATAGTTAAAGGTCCAGTCATGTTTCTCGGTAAATTAGTATTGTGTCATTGAATGTAAATTACTGACTGAATGGTAAAGATACGAGAACTTCTTTGACTCTAACAACCTGCATTGTGGGTATACCAGAGTCAAATGCACTGTAGTATTAAAAGACACCATCATCATCTGATCAAGGGCAATTAGGGACGGATAATAAATGCCAGTGATACTCACATCCCAAGAATGAATTTAAAAATATTAATGATTTTAATGGTACATGCATTAGTTCAGATAAATATTTGAAGCTTTCATAACAAGCACAAAATTTCAAATTGAGTCATCTCATAGAAAATTAAGTACATTTTTGATGAAATGAAAGAAAGAGCTAACTCAAACATAAACGTACACAATTTTGAAATAATTAGGCTTTAATAAGAGTGATTTCTTCTTGCCCGTCTTGACATTGTATCTGTATTTGAATACACAATCTGAGCAGTAGAGGGATTTAAGCTTATAAACCTGCAATTTTGACAGACTTTGCCCCTTTGAAAGTAATAATGTATTTTGTTAATTGTTTTTGGTATAGATTTGAAACAAACCACATGGAAATCTGTGGTCAGTCAAATAGTTTTCATATTGTAGTTTTTAATTTTCCCCTTTTGGTCCCAAACCTACGCAGAAGGTTTCCTAGTGCGCAAATTCAGATGGATAAATCTCATTAAAGAAATTACTTCAGTGTGGGCTTTCTTATCACTGGCAAATAGAAGGATGCAGTATGTTTTTCACAGTGTAATTTTTGGTTTAAATTATCATAATGTTTAGTCTTAATGTTTCTGTTGTTCAAGGCATGTTGATAAGAAACCGACTCAATTTATATTGAAAGGAAAATTTGTCTTGAAATTTCTAATTGTATTTTCAACAGGTTGGCTTCAGAAAAGGTAAATCACTTTCTTTGGGATCCATTGGAACGATAACACAGTTGGAACTGACCCTGTTAGCAGTCCTCTTGGTTGTAGTTATGGCCCTGATTGGTTGTATTGTTACTCTGGTAATAAAGAATACCCAAGGTAAGCTAAAATTGGGTAACCCATCAGTGTAGATTTAGTTTTATCTGATTATTCATTTGAATGACAAACTATTTGTTTCTGTATATTGAAAATACTTCTTAGTTTCTCATTCGTTTTATCTACTCTTGATATTCTTCATCCTTTTTAAAGATCCTAGACTTCTGTAAAAAGCAAAAGTACTTTAAAATCCTGAACTTGCACCTAAATATTATTTGGGGCAACTTTTGGGACATTCTGAAATGTCACTGAAGTAGTTTTGAAGTGTATTTATTGTTTTAATGTTGGAAATATGGCAACAAATTTAAGCACAACACAGTTAGCAATGAGAGATATGCCGAGATGATCAATTTTAGCATTTGGTTGAAACATTACTTTTCAAGTATACCAGTGGAACTCCTCTGCTCCTCTTTGAAATGAGCCATGAGGTTGTCTAGAGGGTAGGTGTAGATTTCTGTCAATTATCATTGATATGAGAATTGCTGTAAAACGGCTTTTTACTTTAAACACTTAGTAGCCTCAAGATCACGCTCTACCACCACCCTCTGTCTGCTACCATCAAGCCAATTTTGTATCCAGTTGGCTAGCTTTCCTTGGATCCCATGTGACCTAACATTGCTAACCAGTCTACCATACCAGTCTAACTTGGCAGAGGCCTTACTAAAGTCCATGTAGTCAATGTCTACCGCTCTGTCTTCTTGGTCACCTCTTTAAAACAAAACTTAATTGAGTTTGTGAGACACTGTTTCCCACGCACAAAGCCATGCTGACTATCCTTAATCAGCCCTTGCCTCTCCAAATGTATGTTAATCCTCTTTCAGAATCCTCTTCAACAGTTTACCCGCCACTTATATCAGGCTCACTGGTTGTGTAGATCCCTGGCTTTTCTTTACAGCCTTTCTTAAATAATGGCACAACATCAGCCATCCTCCAGTCTTCTGGCACTTCACCCATGGCTGCTGACGATACAAGTGTCTCTGCTACGGGCCCCGCAATTTCTTCCCTAGCTTCCCACAATATCCTGTGATACATCTGGTCAGGTCGCGAGCATTTATCTTTGTGTTTTAAGACCTCCAGAACCTCCTGTTTTGTCATGTGGACTCTTTTCAAGGCATCACTATTTATTCCTCTAAGTTCCCTAGCTTCCATGTCTTTCTCCACAGTAAATACTGCCATGAAATATTTGTTTAGTATCTAACCCATCTCCTGTGGTTGCACACAGGATGGCCTCCTTGATCTTTAAGGGGCCCTACTCTCTCCCTAGTTATTCTTTTGCCTTTGATTTAATTGTAGAATCTCTTTTGTTATGGACCAGGCCAGAACCCCTCAAAGTATTTTAAGAAGATAGCCTAAACCCTAAATTTTTCTTATTGTAAAGGTAGCTGTGAAGTGAGTGTTCCAGGTGTGATGCAACAGGTCAAACCACTCAACTTTAAGCAAAATGCAGTTTATTTAAATGCTACAGTTAAAACACGAACAAAAGAAAGCAGAAGTTAGAATAACTTAACTATTAGAAAACTTAACCGAATGCTCGATACAGTAACTCAACGAATTAACTGTTCCAATATAATAAAATCCCATAAACACACCTCTGGGCAAAAAAGGTAAATTGAAACACAGATTCTTACAGGCAGGAGGGAACAATGTCCAAAGAGATTTCAGAGAAAGTTAGTTAGGAATCCTTTACTGAAGCTTGCAACCTTTCTGATAATCACACATCTTGTGACTGCTACAGCTAAAAAAAATACTACAACTTGAACTGGGAGAACTGGCCACTTCCCTTCCATTGTTAAACTCTTTTAAAAAAACACTATTGATTCAGGCTGGCTCCCTCGCCAGTTCAGTACCTCTGCCTTTGCAATCTCTCTTCAAAAAAACCCAGGACAAAATAATCTTTTTTTAAAGTGACAGCATTGTCACGCTTTGGATTCTCCTTAACCTTACCTGCCAGAGCTATCTCATGTCTCATTTTTGCCTTTCTATTTTCCCTCTTAAGTGTACTTCTACTCACCCTATACTCCTCAAGTGATTTACTTGATCCCAGCTGTCCATGCCTGTTATATGCGTCCTTTTTCTTGACCAGAGCCACAAATATCTAGTCATTCAGTGTTCCCTACTCCTACCAGACTAACATAAACACACTATCCCTGAACTCTTGTTATCTCACTTTTGAAAGCTTCCCATTTGCCAGTCATCCCTTTACCTTTGAGCAGCCTTTCCCCGTCAACTTTTGAAAGTTCCTGTCTAATACTGTCAAAATTGGCCTTGCTCCAATTTAGAACTTTAACTTGTGGACCAGGCCTATCCTTTTCTAAAACTAATAGAAATATGGTGGCACATTCCAAAATACTCCTCCACTAACACCTCATTCGCTTGCTGTGTCTTATTTCCCATGTGAAGATCGAGGTTTAGAACATAGAACAGTACAGCACAGTACAGGCCCTTCAGCCCACGATGTCATGCCGACCTTTTACCCTAATCCTAAGGTCTATCTACCCTCCACCCTACCTTATACTATCATCCATATGCCTATCTAATATCCGCTTAAATGCTCCTAATGAGGCCGACTCCACTACCCTCTCCGGCAATGCATTCCACGCCCCGACCACTCTCTGTGTAAAGAACCTACCTCTGACGTCTCCCCTACATCTACCTCCACTCACTTTAAAACTATGCCCCCTCGTAATAGCTACCTCCACCCTAGGAAAAAGTCTCTGGCTGTCCACTCTATCTATAGCTCTGATCATTTTGTACACCTCTGTCAAGTCACCTCTCATCCTTCATCGTTCTAAAGAGAAAAGCCCTAGCTCTCTCAACCTTTCCTCGTAAGACCTTCGCTTCATTCCAGGCAACATCCTGGTAAATCTCCTCTGCACCTTTTCCAATGCTTCCACATCTTTCCTGTAATGAGGCGACCAGAACTGGACACAATACTCCAAATGTGGCCGAACCAGGGTTTTGTATCGCTGGAGCATAACTTCACAGCTCTTGAACTCAATCCCTCTATTAATGAAAGCTAACACACCATACGCCATCTTAACAACTCTATCCACCTGGGTGGCAGCTTTCAGGGAACTGTGGACATGAACCCCAAGATCCCTCTGCTCCTCCACACTGCCAAGAATCTTTCCGTTAACCCTGTATTCTGCTTTCAAGTTTTATCTTCAAAAATGAATCACCTCACACTTTTCAGGGTTAAACGCCGTCTGCCACTTCTCAGCCCAGCTCTGCATCCTATCAATGTCCCTTTGTAACCGAGAACAGCCCTCCACACAGTCCACAACGCAACCCACCTTCGTATCGTCCGCGAACTTACTAATCCACCTTTCCACTCCTTCATCCAAATCATTTACGAAAATCACAAATAGAAGGAGGACCCAGAACAGATCCTTGTGGTACACCACTTGTAACTGAGCACCATATTGAATATTTTCCGTCCACTACCACCCTTTGTCTTCTAAGGGTCAGCCGATTCTGAATTCAATCTGCCACATTTCCCCCTATCCCATGCCTCCTTTCCTTCTGCATGAGCCTACCATGGGGAACCTTATCAAACGCCTTACTTAAATCCATGTATGCCACATCCACTGCTCTACCTTCATCCATGTGTTTGGTCACCTCTTCAAAGAATTCAGTAAGGTTTGTGAGGCATGATCTACCCCTCACAAATCCATGCTGACTATCACGAATCAAACTGTGCCTTTCCAAGTGATCATAAATCCTATCTCAGAGCCCTTTCCAATAATTTGCCCACCACTGATGTAAGACTAACTGGCCTGTAATCTCCGGGGTTATCCTTATTCCCTTTTTTGAACAAGGGCATGACGTTTGCCTCTCTCCAATCTTCTGGCACTATACCCTTGGACAGTGAGGACAAAAAGATCATCACCAAAGGCCCTGCGATCTCTTCCCTCGCTTCCCATAGAATCCTTGGATAAATCCCATCAGGTCCCGGGCACTTATCTATCTTCAACTTCCTCAAAATTTCTAGCACATCTTCCTTATTAACAGCGACCTCCTCTAGCCTACCTGCCTGTTTCACACTGTCCTCCTCTACAACTAGGTCCCTCTCAGTTGTGAATACCGAAGAAAAGTATTCATTAAGGGCCTCTCCTATCTCTTTAGGGTCCGTGCACAAATTCCCTTTACAATCCTTGATTGGCCCTACCCTTTCTCTGGTCATTCTCTTATTCCTCACATACGTGTAAAAAGCCTTGGAATTTTCCTTGATCCTATCTGCCAAGGTTTTCTCATGCCCCTTTATAGTTCTCCTAAGCCCTTTCTTCAGCTCGTTCCTGGATAACTTGTATCCCTCTAGAGTCTTTTCTGTTCCTTGTTTCCTAAACCTTACATAAGCATCCTTCTTCCTCTTAACCAGTTGTTCGACCTCTGTTGAGAACCAAGGCTCCCTCAGTCGACCGCATCTTCCCTGCCTGCTAGGGACAAACATATCGAGCACACGCAGTATGCATTCCTTAAACAATCTCCACATCTCAGTAGTGCTCTTCCCTGACAGTATCTGTTCCCATTTTATGTTACCCCGTTCTTGCTCAACGGAATTGTTATTACCCTTCCCCCAAGTATCAACCTTACCCTGCTGTATGTACCTATCCTTTTCCATGACTGTTGTAAAAATAACAGAGTTATGATCGCTACCGCCAAAATGCTCTCCTACTAACAGGTCTAACACTTGGCCCAGTTCATTGCCAAGCACCAAATCCAAAGTGGCCTCTCCTCGTGTTGGTCTATCTACATACTGTATCAGGAATCCTTCCTGAACGCACTGGACAAAATCCTCTCCATCTAAAATATTACAACTAAAATGTTTCCAATCAATATTTGGAAAGTTGAAGTCACCCATGACTACAACCCTGTGACTTCTGCACCTTTCCAGTATCTGCCTCCCAATCCGCTCCTCCACTTCGCTGCAACTATTAGAGGGTCTGTAAAAAACCCCCAACAATGTGACTGCTCCTTTCTTGTTCTGGACCTCAACCCAAACTGACTCTGTAGACATATCATTCTCAAACTGCCTTTCAGTAGCTGCTATACTAGCTCTGATTAGCAATGCCACTCCCCCGCCTCTTTTTCCACCCTCCCTATTTCTTTTAAAGCATCTAAATCCCAGAACGTCCAACAACCATTCCTGTCCCTGAGTTACCCAAGTTTCCGTAATGGCCACAACATCGTAGTTCCAAGTACTGACCCATTCTCTAAGTTCATCCACCTTATTTCTGATACTTCTAGCATTGAAGTATACACACCTCAAACCATTTCTGTGTCCACAATTACGCTCCATCGACCGCATTTCTTTATTAACAACCTCACTCCCTGTTGTGTCTGCTGGAAGGCTGAATACCTCATCCTCTGAATTACAAATCCGGTTCCCCACCCCCTGCCAATCTAGTTTAAACCATCCCATATAACTTGAGCAAACCGCCCTCCCAGGATATTTGTGCCCTTCTCGTTCACGTGCAACCCGTCCTTACTGTACAGGTCCCACCTTCCCCAGAATGTGCTCCAATTATCTACATAATGGAAGCCCTCCCTCCTACACCAGCCCTGTAGCCACGTGTTTAGCTGCACTCTCTCCCTATTTCTTACCTCGTTATCATGTGGCACTAGTAGTAATCCAGAGATAACTACCCTGTTTGTCCTGGACTTCAGCTTCCAACCTAACTCCCTGTAATCGTTTTTCACATTGTCTGGCCTTTTTCTACCTATGTCATTGGTACTGATGCGTACCATGACTGCTGGTTGCTCACCCTCCCCACTAAGGATCTTGAAGACACGATCCGAGACATCACGGACCCTGGCACCCGGGAGGCAACATACCATCCATTCATCTCGTTTGCGTCCACAGAACCGCCTGTCTGTGCCTCTTACTATTGAATCCCCCACTACAATTGCTCTCCTATTCTGCCCCCTTCCCTTCTATGCCACAGGGCCAGGCTCAGTGCCAGAGATCTGTCCACTATGGCCTTCCCCTGGTAGGTCGTCCCCCCCAGCAGTATCCAAAGCGGTATACTTATTATTGAGGGGAATGGCCACAGGGGATCCCTGCACTGTCTGCCTGTTCCCTTTCCGCTTCTTGACAGCTACCTTTTTCCTGTACCTTGGGTGTGACCACCTCCTCAAAACTCCTCTCTATCACCCCCTCAGCCTCCCGAATGATCCGGAGTTCTTCCAGCTCCAGCTGCAGTTCCCTAACACGGTTTTTGAGGAGCTGGAGTCAGGTGCACTTCTCGCAGGTGAAGTCAGAGGGGACACCAGCAGTGACCCTTACCCCTCACATCCTGCAAGAGGAGCATGCAACTGCCCTAGCTTCCATTCCCTCTACTCTAGATTTCCAGAAGAATAAAAAAAAAGCCTTACCTTCCCAACCCTCCACGCAGTCTTTTTTTTTGGTTAGAGGAGGAGGATGGGTGGGAGACACTACATATGTAGTGTTTCGGGTTTAGCCAATGCCCGAATTTATCTGTTTCTTCCTGGCTCGTGTTCTCTCCACACACCCACCGCTGAAAACAAGAAGGCCGCTGCTGCACAAGGTAAGTTTTTATACAGGGAAAAAAACAACCTTACCTTCCCGTCGGCACCCTGGCTCGCGCTGCTGCCGCTCTAGTAGATATGTCTATGCATTGATAAAGAAAAATTTCTTGAACACACTTAATTCCTCCCCATCCAAACCGTTAACACTATGGCAGTCCTAGTCTATGTTTGGAAAGTTAAAATCCCCTACCATTACAATCCTATTATTCTTGCAGACATCTGAGATCTCTCTACATATTTGCTCCTCAATCTTCCACTGGCTATTGGGGGCCTAAAGTACGATCCCATCAAGGTGATCATCCCCTTCTTATTTCTCAGTTCCACCCATATAGCTTCACTGGATGATCCCTCAGGAATATCGACTCTCCATCCTGACTTGGAAATATATTGCTATTCCTTCAGTGTTGGAATTCCAATCCTGGAATTCTGTCCTTAAAAGCGTTGTGGGTCAACCCCCAATACATGGACTGTAGTGGTTCAAGAAGGCAGCTCATCACCACCTTCTCAAGGACAACTAGGAATGGGCAATAAATGCTGGCCAGCCAATGACACCCACGCCCCATGAGAGAAATTTTGAAAAAACAATTAGAATTCACTCTGGCTAGTGGGTAGTGATCAAGCGGTCAACACTTTCAAACCTCTTGAGAGTTGTTGCAGATCTGACTGAATCCAAACTGACCAACACTGAAGAGGCAAATTGTGAGTAAATACTACTTGATAGCACAATTGATGAATCGTTCCATTACTTTCATAACTGGGTGTAGACTAATAGACTGGTAATTGGCTGGATTGGATTTATTCTGCTCTTTATGGACATGACCTTTTTCTGCATTGTCTATTTACCTCTGTAACTGCACTGGGACTGCTTAACTAGGAGCATAGGTAAATTCTTGAGTACCACAGCTACAATTTTGTCAGGGTCTGCAAATTTATCCATGCTCATTGATTTCACCTCTTACTTGTATGTCTCATAGAATTAATCTAATTGGCTCAAAACTTTCATTGATAGGTGCAAACACCAGGAAGAGACCAGGAAAGATCTGCTGAGGATGGCTGCTGATAGATTATTATGTAGTCTCGTGTTAATTTATAAGATGTGACATTCAGGATTTGAAAAATGCGTTTGTGATCTGGGCAAACTTTTATTCCTTAATCCGCACTCCTAAAATAAATTATTTGGTCATTCATCACATTGCTGTTGTGCGGGAAAACTGGTTACGGTGTTTTCCTACTTATGATAGTGACTACAATTCATTTCATCGGCTATGGAACCACTTCAGGAGCCCCTGAGATGCTATATGATGGCACTTCATGTACCACCTGTTTCTGTCCTTTAAGCTTTCAACATTTTATCGAAATGTAATTTTTAGTTGATTTTGCAGCTTAGGACTGATACTGAAAGTAACATCGATAATGCAGTAATTGAAATCTAGATGCATTGGAATATGAAGATAACTATAGCAATTGCTGGAAAATAATATTTTAATAATAGTATTACTAAACCTATCTTTCAAATATCAGTTTTGCTTCTTGGCTACATTGTTTCCTAATCTAGCTATTTGAAGTTCAGTTTAAGTATTCTCCTTGCTCAACATTGGACTTATCTCTTCTAACCAATTTCATCGAATTGAATAGTGCATTGCATGAGTCATGTAGAAATTTTCCAATTCTGTTTTATATGTCACCTCAGGAAAATGACCAAGCCTCAATATTAATTTATCATTTTTCATTTATTAATTGGTGTTGTGAAAGGGAAGTCTATATGCATTTTTCATTTTGCAGATCCTTCACATAAAATTTGTCTGTCTGAAACTTGTATTATGGTGGCTGCTAAAATAACAGAATCCCTAGACCGTTCAGTGGACCCCTGCAATGACTTTTATCAATATGCCTGCGGTGGATGGATAAAGAAAAATCCATTGCCTGATGGAAGGTCACGTTGGAATACCTTTAATAGTTTATGGGACCAGAACCAGGCAGTTATGAAACATCTTTTGGGTAAGTAAAAAGAAAAAGGTACAATTATTACTGAATGTGATTTTGATAAGGCCTCTTGTTTATCATGTATATTTATTGCAGATTAATATGATAAACATGATTGTTGAGATCCATTACTCATTATGCTCACCTCTACAGTTAACACTTTTTTTACCATTTAAAATGTAACTTTCTGCTTTATTTATGATGATTGGAAAACTTGCTTTGTTAAAATGTTTTGCGATGCTAAATGCAAAACATACTTGGTTAGAAATCATTGTGATACTTGTAACCAGAGAATGCACGTAATAAACAAAGATCTATTTTTCATGACAGGTTTCAGTCTAGCTTGCAGTATTACATTCAAGAACTGAACTATTGCAAACATGTTTTTATTTAAAAAGCCTCCAATGCATGATTAAACAATAAATCTTGGTAAAACCCCCTCTTGTAAAACAGAAATGATAAGGTAATACTTTGAAATTTGAGAGTACAGAAAGAAAATGTAAAGGAATTCAGTGTAGCTATCATGGAATGGAAAAATTAGTACAATTTTGAAAACCTTTGACTGTTTTTAATTAATTTTATATTGATTGTGAAGCTTTGAATTTGGCAATGTGTTTGGCCCAACTATACTGTCAGTCACAAATATAAAAAGATGTTAAGTGCTCTTACAGCATGGATATTATTAAATTGTTTCATTTACTGTTGATCTGAATAAGCAGAGAAGTAATTAATGCATCAACATTTTCAGTTCGCAGTGGACAAACTATACAGTAAAAGATACAGGCCTTGTGACAAGCATGCCTGCCAAATTGGAGACGATGGTGGCCTTTTGTGCTTAGAGAAATCACCCTAAGGGACTTTAGTACAAAAAAAAATTAAGCACAAAGCCCAGTCTGCATCATATTAGGACACCATGAATGGAAGATGATGTCACCAATAATCTTCATGCTTCTGCAACTGAACTTGTAAGCAAAGGAAGCTAAATCTTGTTTGCAGTTCGTTCACTTAGCAGGCCTCAGTTATGACATTTTACAGAAATGGAAATTTTAGGGGAAAAGATGGAATGGTGGAATGGAGGGTGAAGAAAGTAGACTTAAGAAGGAATACTTAAAGTCACTTAGCAACAATCAAAGGAAGTAAATTATGAACAAAAACAAAGTTGCTGGAAAAGTAAATTATGATGCAGGAAGCTTTGAATCCTATAGAGTTATTAAAGAGACAAAATGCGATCAGTGAGGTTGTGTTCATCCACAAGATTGTGTCATTCAGTGCAAATGATCTAAAATTTGTTATTCAGTTAGTTAAATTATTTAGTAATTCATGATTGGAAATATTTTTCTGGCTTAATGCTAATGACTGAATAATTTTTAATTTTGTATGTATTATTATCTAGCTAATAATAAAGCAACAGCCTTGTATTGAAATCTTCCAAGTCTATGTAGGTAAAGAGGGCAGGAAGAATGATAATCTTTGAGTTCAGTACAGGAAATAGTTTGTTTGCTGAAGAGACAGCTTTGAGTTAGGGACCAGGATGTGGGTGGCATGTGCACTTGAAAGCATTGGGGCTAGTTTAGTTTGGGGTTATATTCGGCATGGACTTGTTGAACCAAAGGTTCCATTTCTGTGCTGTATTACTTTATAACGCTATAACATCCTTGGCTCAACCATCATAAGCTTCATCATTAATTACCTTCTCCCAGCTTAAAGTCAGAAGTGGAGTTGTTGGCATATGATTGCACAGTGTTGGCGACTCAAATATTGAAGCTGTTCCTATCCATATGCAGTTCTTGAGAACATTAAGGCTCGAGCTGAAAAGTGGTAAGTAGCATAGGTTCCATGTACGTATCAAGCAAGAGCTACCATTGACCAGAAACTGAACTGGATCAGCTAAATAAATATTTTTAAGCTAATGAGAAATTTTGAGTGAAGTCAGTTATATAGATTTAGGTCATGGATCAGCCATTATTTATTGAATGGTGGAGCAGGTATGACGATCTGTATGGTGTACTGCAAATACAGTGATTAAGATGCCTTCCCCTGGCAACTTGAAAATGTGCAGACTCTTCTTATCCATTGGATGATTCTTCACTGTTGGTAAATCTTCTTCTTTTTAACCCTCAAATTCAACATGTTTAAAACTATTCTATAACCCTGGTTCCTTGAAGCCATGTCCCAGAGCTTAGTCTTCAATGCCTGGAAACTCCCATAGAACTCTGAAGATTTGGCAACCCTTTACATGTCAAATCCAACACTTCTAGCAATAACCCTTGAACAGGAAAAAAGATGAACTAAACAAAGGAAGGACAAAATGGAAAAATAAATGCAAGCATGGGATGAGAATAATAAGTAAAGGGCTAACAGACAAAACAAAAGATGACATAAAGTTGTTAATGTTAATAATGACAGGAAGAAGAAATTTAATGTAGTTAAGAGAACAAGTGAATAGCGAAGGCAGCATGCAGTCACTGGTCCATATTTTCCATACTTTAGCTTGGCCAGACAAATGACAAGTAACATTGCTTTGCACTTGTGTGTCATGAATGACAATCTTCTACAAAGGAGAATCTAAACATCACTTTTTCACTTTCAATGACATTACCATCACTGAATCTCCCACTATAAGATCCTGGGGTTTACCATTAACCAAATACTGAACTAGATTAGTCACAAATACTGTGGCTACAAGAGCAGGACAGAGGGTAGGAATCATGTGAGAAATTACTTAGTTTCAGACTCCGCAAAGCCGGTCCACCGTTTGCAAGGCATAAGTCATGCGTGTGATAATGTATTACCTACTTTCCTGGACGAGAGCAGCACCAACAATATTCACAAATCTTGACACCATCTAGATTGGCAGGACATTTGCAAACATTCACTTTTTCCACATAGATGCACAGTAACACAGTGTGTTCCATTTCCAAGATGCACTGCAGAAATTTTACAAGGCCTCCTTAGAAAGCACCTCCTAAACCCATGACCACTACCATCTAGCAGGTCAAGGACAGCAGATGCAAAGGAACATCAGAATCTGCAGCCTAGCCACTCACCATCCTAATCCTGAATTGGAAATATATCGGCATTCCTTCAATGTTGCTGGGTCAAAGTGATGGAACACTCTCCCTTACGGCATTGTGGGTGAACTTACAGCAAAGACTGCAATGGTTCAGGAAGGCAGCACACCACAACTTTTTGAGGGCAACTATGGATGGGGAATATATGTTGACCCAACTGGCAAAGCCCACATTCCATGAATCAACTAAGAAAAATATGCTGACTAGTATACACTATCTGAAGAGTTTTTGGCAGTGCGAAGCTGGAGGCTTAAATGAATCTTTGAATTCCTCATTAACTAAACTGTGCCTGGCATCTTTAGGTGCACTGGATCATACAAACCTGCATATTTTTCTTTCAGTTACAACATGTGCAGCACTGGTTCTTTGTTCCACTACGATTTAAAATTTACTTTAGTTGTTACGTCAGCAAAAATTTCATAGATAAACTAAAAGCTGTGTAACGACAGTTATGAAAATGTTGCGACATGAAAGAATTCCTATCAAACTTCAATCAATAAATACATGGAATAGAAAACAAAAGCCATTTTCCTAATATTACTGTATGTGCTTACCTGGTGTCATTGTGTTTTGCCTAATGGAATCTGTATTAAAAGTTCCAAGATTCTCATGATTCTGGAATAGTTCCTACTTATTAGAGGATAGCTAAAAGGGAGGTAGAGAGAAAGTGGAATTATAGACCAGTGAGCCTGATGTCGGTAGTAGGGAAGATGATAGGATCCATTATCAAGGATTTTATGGCAGAGCATTTAGAAAACAGTGGTAGAATCAGACACAGTCAACATGGATTTATAAAAGGCAAATTATGCTTGAAAAACATACTGGTTCTTTGATGAATTCTTTGAGGATGTAACTAGGAGAGATGATCAAGATGAGCCAGTGGATGTGGTTTATTTGGACTTGGCTTTCAATAATGTTCCTCACAAGAGATTAATGTTTAAAATTGAAGCATATGGGATTGGGAGTAGTGTATTGAGATGGATACAGAATTGATTATCAGACAGGAAATAAAGAGTAGGAATAAATTTCTTTTTTTCTGAATGGCACGCAGCAATGACATATTAATGATTTCAATGAGGGAACTAAATGTAATGTCTCAAAATTTGCAATTCCTGGCTGGAAGGGTGAGCTTTGAGGGGGATGCAGAGATGTTGCAGTGTGATTTGGACATGCTGAGTGAGTGGGCAAATGCATGGCAGATGCAGTATAATGTGGATAAGTGTAAGGTTATTCACTTTGGGAGCAAAAACAAAGGCAGATTATTATTTGAATAGCTGTAAATTGAAAGAGGGGAATGTTCAATTTGACTTGTGTGTCCTTGTGCACCCATCACTGAAAGTAAGCACATACTTCAGCATGCAGTAAAGAACAAAAACTGTGTCTTGGCATTCATAATGAGAGGATTTGTTAATGGGAACAAGGATGTCATGCTGCACTTGTGCAAGCATTGATGAGGCCACACCTGAAATATTGTGCGCAGATTTAGAGTCATAGAAATGTACAGCACGAAAACAGACCCTTCGGTCCAACTCATCCATGCAGACCAGATATCCACGATAAATCTAGTCCAATTTGCCAGCATTTGGCTCATAACCCTCTAAACCCTTCCTATTCATATATCTATCCAGATGTCTTTTAAATGTTGCAATTGTACCAGCCTCCACCACTTCCTCTAGCAGCTCATTCCATACAAGCACCACCCTCTGCGTGAAAAAAATTGCCCCTTAGGCAATCTCTCCTCACTCACTTTAGACTTATGCCCTGTAGTTTTTGACTCCTCCATCCCATGGAAAAGATCTTGTCTATTTACCCTATCCATACCCCTCATGATTTTATAAACCTCTATAAGGTCACCTGTCAGCCTTTGATGCTCCAGGGAAAATAGCACCAGCATATTCAGCCTTTCCCTAAAGCTCAAACACTCCAACCCTGGCAACATCCTCG